CACACACACAGACTTACAGACTGCTGAGTCCATACACACACACAAACACACACACACAGACTGCTGAGTCCACACACACACACAAACACACACACAGACTGCTGAGTCCATACACACACACACACACAAACACACACAACACAGACTGCTGAGTCCATACATACACACAAACACACACACACAGACTGCTGAGTCCATACACACACACAAACACACACACAGACTGCTGAGTCCATACAAACACACAAACACACACAGACACACACACAAACTGCTGAGTCCATACACACACACAGACACACACACACATGCAGACTGCTGAGTCCATACACACATGCAGACTGCTGAATCCATACACACACACACACACACACAGAATGCTGAGTCCATCCAGACACACAGACTGCTGAGTCCACACACACAGACACACAGACTGCTGAGTCCACACACACACACACACAGACTGCTGAGCAGGGCTGCCATCATAAATTTTAGAGCCACTGACACAGTTCAAGATCTGGGCCCCCCGGGCCAGCACCGACTCCTCCCACAAGGATTAAGTGTGTGTGTGTGTGTGTGTACAGTGGATGTAGAATGTGTGTTATGGATGCAGTGTGTATAGTGGATGTAGAATTTGTATGTGGTATGTGTGTCATGGATGCAATGTGTATAGTGGATGCAGTATGTGTGTCATGGATGCAGTGTGTATAGTGGATGCAGATTGTATGTTTTGTGTAATGTATGTAATGTTTGTATGCATGCATTAGATGCAGAGTGTGTGTGTGTAGTGAATGTAGGTGTGTATAGTGAATGCAGAGTGTGTTTTTGTAGTGGATGTAGTGTGTATAGTGAATGTAGTGTGTATAGAGCATGTAGTGTGTTTAGTAAATGTAGTGTGTGTGTGTAGTGAGTGCAGAGAGTGTATAGTGAATGTAGTGTGAGTATGTGTAGTGCAGAGTGTGTTTAGTGAATGTAGTGTGTGTATAGTGAATGTAGTGTGTGTGTACAGCAAAGTGTATTTAGTGAATGTAGTGTTTGTAGTGAGTGCAGAGTGTGTTTAGTGAATGTAGTGTGAGTATGTGTAGTGGAGAGTGTGTTTAGTGAATGTATTGTGTGTGTGTAGTGCATAGTGTGTTTAGTGAATGTAGTGTGTGTAGTGCAGAGTGTGTACCACACCAGCCATGGTACATTGAAGAGGGGCCCAGCAGCACACACTGTCTTCCTTTCCAGCTCCTCTCTGACTAACTCTTGCGAAACAGGCCTGTGTGCTGTGCGGAGCATTGTCATGGTAACCCATGGCAACGCTCTGGCGGCCGCAGGGCACAGGAAAGTTAGACAGAGTGTGGATAGAGGACAGAGTGTGCTGCTGGGCCCCCTCTTCAATGTACAAGTAGCAGGGGGCCCTCTGTGCACATATATATAGCTAAAATCCCTATATATATATATACAGTGGAACCTCGGTTAATGAACACCTCGGTAAATGAGAAATGTGGTTTACAAATGAGAATTCATAAAAATAAATGCCTCGGTTTACACATTTTTTTCGCAATACGAAACAAGTGTCCCATTTTTTTAGCTCTGCCCCCTGCATACTGGAGTCTGGGTAGCACGTGAGTGTGGAGTGTGGAGGTGTTGGAGAGGTTTTGGAGCCATTTGCAGCAAGTTGTGGAGCCTTCTGGAGCCATTTGCAGCAAGTTGTGGAGCCTTTTTGGTGCATCTCAAGAGGTGGAAAGGTAGGGAGCTGAGCTTAGTTGTTTGCATGCTTTTTACTGTGTGTTCTGCATTGTGGGGTGATTTCCATGCCAGCTCATGTGCTGTGCATGCCTGTTACTGTGTGTTTTGCATTGTGGGGTAGTTTTCCATGCCAGCTCATGTGCTGTGCATGCAGTGGCGTACACAGGACCCATGGGGCCCCGGTGCGAAAATTGATCCGTGGGGGCCCCCCTCCCTCCTTCCCTCCCAGCAGCGGGCATAACCTATGACCCGGTGGGCGGCACCGCAATTGCGCCAGAGGTTACATTGGGGCTGCGACCCCTCGACTCATGCGCCAGTGCATGCAGATGCACACACTTAAGGACCACTCCTGGCACCCGAACCACTTCCCAGCTCGAGCAGGTGGTCTGGGTGCCAGGTCCAGCTGGTTAACCACCCATTTTTCATAAACGCAGCAGTTTCAGAGAGCTGCTATGTTTTCTGATGGAGTTAAGCCTTCCTATTTCGTACTAGCGGCTGTCTCATTGACGGCGCTAAGAAAACGCTCGTGCTTCTCACTGTGATTTTCACGGTGAGAGCGCGCCAGCGTCCATAGGAAAGCATTATGAATGCTTTCCCTGTATGACTGAATCTTGGCCTTTAGCTCTTGCAGCGTCGCGCATACAACCGGCGAGGGAAGGAAGAGGAGAGCTCTCCGCCCAGCGCTGGAAAAAAGGTAAGTTTACCCCTTTTCCCCCTTCCAGAGCCGGGCGGGAGGGGGACCCTGAGGGTGGGGGCACCCTCAGGGCACTATAGTGCCAGGAAAACGAGTATGTTTTCCTGGCACTATAGTGGTGCTTTAAAGGACCACTACAGACACCCAGATCACATCAGCTCCATGAAGTTGTCTGGGTGTCAGGTCCCTCTAGTTTTAACCCTGCAGCTGAAAACATAGCAGTTTCAGAGAAACTGCTATGTTTCACTGAGGGTTAATCCAGCCTCTAGTGGCTGTCTCACTGACAGCCGCTAGAGGAGCACACTGAGCGTCCATAGGAAAGCATTGAGTAATGCTTTCCTATGGGCGGTTTGAATGCGTGCGCGGTCGCATTCGGAGCTGAGAGGCTGAGGGATCCCCAGCGCCAAGGGAGTCCGGCGCTGGAGAAAGGTAAGTGCTGAAGACACACACACTCTCACTTACAGACGCATACACACTGGCTAACAGACACACACATTTACTGACAGAGACACACTCAGCGACAGACATACATACACACTCACAAAACATACACTCTCATTGACAAACACAAACTCACTAACAGACATCAAACAGACTCACTAACACACACACTCAAGTAGACACACACAGTAGCTTACACACACTAACACTCACTCCTAACACACACACACTTTTACACTTTAACACTAACTAACCAGACACACACACTAGCTTACTCACTAGCGAACACACACACACTAACACACACACACTCACACTAACACTCACTAGCAGACACTCACACTAACCCTCCACACACACACTAACACTCACTCTAACAAACACACACACACTAACACTAACTAGCAGACACACACACACTAACACTCACTAGCAGACACACACACACTAACACTCACTAGCAGACACACACACACTAACACTCACTAGCAGACACACACTAACACACACACTAACACTCACTAGCAGACACACACACACTAACACTCACTAGCAGACACACACACACTAACACACACACACTCACACTAACACTCACTAGCAGACACTCACACTAACCCTCACACACACACTAACACTCACTCTCACACTAACACTAGTTTTTTTTTTTAAATGTAATCCCCCCAGCCTCCTTACCTTTTGGAGTGCTGGGGGGATTCCCTGGGGTCCAGTGGTGCTGCTGACCCCGGCGGGCGGGTGGCCGGTCGGGAAGGCGGGCGCGCGAGGGAGCACTCAGTGCTTCCTCTTCAGCTCCCTCGCGCGCCGCATAGGGATGCCGGAGGCGGAGCCGGAAGATGACGTCATCTTCCGGCTCTGGCATCAGTGCGGTGCGCGAGGGAGCTGAAGAGGAAGCACTGAGTGCTCCCTCGCGCGCCCGCCTTCCCGACCGGCCACCCGGTGACAGCAGGGCCAGCCTTGGGGGGCCCTGGGGTGGCCGGCTCCTGGGCCCCCCAGGGGAAGAGGCTGGCCCTGAGCGTACATACCGGGTCGCAGGGGCGGCCGGGCCCCCTGGTGGGCCGGGCCCGGTCTCAGCCGCGACCCCTGCGACCCTGGTATGTACGCCACTGTGTGCATGCCTGTCACAGCTCATATGCTGTGCATGCCTGTTACTGTGTGTTTTGCATTGTGGGTTTGCTTTCCATGCCAGCTCATGTGCTGTGCATGCCTGTTACAGCTCATATCCTGTGCATGCCTGTTACAGTACTGTACTGTGTGTTTTGCAATGTGGGGTTGTTTTCCATGCCAGTTCATGTGCTGTGCATGCCTGTTACAGCTCATGTGCTGTGCATGGCTTTTACTGTGGTTTCCATGCCAGCTCATGCGCTGTGCATGCCTGTTACAGCTCATGTGCTGTGCATACCTGTTACAGCTCATCTGCTGTGCATGCCTGCTACAGCTCATGAGCTGTGCATGCCTGTTACAGCTCATGTGCTGTGCATGCCTTTTACTGTGGTTTCCATGCCAGCTCATGTGGGTGTAAAGCATTTTTTGCATTTTTTTTGCATACTTATTGACGGTGGTGTCATGGCACCCAAGAAAGCAGCGGAAGCTGGGAAGAGGAAGAAGGAGATGATTCTGCTTGAGGACAAGAAATAAATCATCAGGAAGCATGAAGGAGGAATGCGATTGACTGACCTTGTCAAAGAGTATGGAAGAAGTGCATCCACAATCGGTACAATCCTAAAAATGAAAGAGAAGATAACTGGGAGAGATGCAGCCAAGGGAGTCACCAGGGTCTCCAATGGCCACCTGTTCTGGAGGAGGTCGAGCAGTTGCTCCTGCTCTGGATTGAACAGAAGCAGCGTGCAGGGGACTCAGTGACCAAGGTGATCATCTGCGAAAAAGCAAAGGTCTTGCACGCTGACCTCCTCAAACAGCCAGGAACTTCAGCAGATGCAGAAGGCTTCAAGGCCAGCAGGGGGTGGTTCAAAAGGTTCAAGACCAGATCTGGCATCCACAGTGTGGTCAGGCATGGAGAGGCTGCAAGTTCCGATGTTGCTGCAGCTGAGGAATTTGCTACGGAGTTCCTGGAGGTCATAGTTTCAGAGGGCTACCTTCCTCAGCAGGTCTTCAACTGCGACGAGACTGGATTCTTCTGGAAGAGGATGCCAAAGCGTACCTTCATCACAGAAGAGGAGACCTCATTGCCTGGCCACAAGCCGATGAAGGACTGTCTCACCCTCCTGTTCTGCGCCAACGCCAGTGGGGACCTTAAGATCAAGCCCCTGCTTGTCTACCATTCAGAGAACCCACGGGCCTTCAAGAAACACAAGGTGAACAAGGAGCAGTTGAGCGTTTTGTGGCAGTCTAACCCAAAGGCTTTGGTCACACGTCTCTTGTTTGTGAAGTGGGTCAATGCGTTTTTTGTTCCTGCTGTGAAGAAGTACCTTATGGACAATAACCTGCCTCTCAAGGCCATGCTGCTCATGGACAATGCTCCTGCCCATCCTCCAGGCCTCGAGGAAGACTTGCTGGAGGACTTTAATTTCATCAAGGTCATGTTCCTTCCTTCCGCCTAACACCACCCCACTACTCCAGCCAATGGACCAGCAGGTCATCTCCAATTTTAAAAAACTCTACACAAGGGAGCTTTTCCGTCGATGCTTTGAGATGACAGATTGCTCAAGCTTCACCCTCCATGAATTTTGGTGAGAGCATTTTGACATTGTGAGCTGTCTGCAGATTATCACCAGGGTCAGCCAGACAAACCTAAATTCTGCTTGGCGCAACCTGTGGCCAGACTGTGTTGTGAAACCTGCCTCCAGTGCTTCTGCACCTGCACCAGAGTCAACAGTGTTGGAGGAAATTGTTTCCTTGGGGAGGACCTTGGGGAGGACCATGGGCCTGGAGGAGGATGTCTACGAGCTGGTGGAGGAACACGACCGTGACCTAACCACAGAGGAGCTGGAGGAATTGCAGAAGGAGGCGATGGAGGAGCAGACCGCATTTGAGGAGGGGAGGAAATGAGTGAGGAACAGCTCTCTTCCACGGAACTCAAGGAGGCATGCCAAATATGGGTAAACCCACAGACTTTTGTACAGCAGCACCACCCAGATAAGGCTCTAGTCCACAGACTTGTGAGCGGTTTTGACACAGACATCATGTCCCCTTTCCAAGGGATGCTTAAAAGGCGCCAGAGGCAGCAGACAATGGAAAGGTTCCTACAAAAACAGCCTAGCCTTCAGTCATGAAGAAGAACCTGCTTGTGTTAGTGCTGCCCAATTGCCCTCGTCCTCCTCATCTTCCAAAAAGTGTTAAAATTGTTTTGAAATTTTCCATGTTTTCCCTGTTAACGTGTGATTTATGTACAGTTGAAGTGTACTGTACCATGTTACCAACAGTCTGCCATGTTTTAAAAGTTGATGTTTGATGTTTTAAAACATAAAGTTGGATGTTTGAAATGTTATTGCTTGATTAATCATGTCCCTGTACAGTATTTATGCCTTTAAAGTGCACTTTATAAAGAGTTTTGAACAGATAAAATACTTTATTTGACTTTTTTTTCTCACTTTCTTCTCACTTTTGTGTTCTCTTAGTACTTTTCTGTCACACACTCCTTCAGTCAGTGGCTAATACACACAAACACATTGGCTTGTACACACACACACACACACACACCCTTTTACACAATTAGGCTCTTACACAGACACACACATTTACAGGTCTGATGGCAGAGAGAGACACCTGTACATTTCTGGAGTCTCAGCATACATAAACAATCCACATAAACAGTGTCCGTCAGAATGCTGGGGAAGATCGCAGCACTTGGAGCTGAGCCGTCGGGTAAGCAGGCTGACAGCCTGACAGGTACAGCTTTAGGTGAACTTGTGAAATTTTAGCAGCAGGTTTGTGCAAACCGGTGCGAAACGGCTGAATCCCACCACTGTGTAAACCCTCTGTGTTCAAGAGCAGGCTGCTTTCCTGTGTGAACCCTCTGTGTTCAAGAGCAGGCTGCTTTCCTGTGTGAACCCTCTGTGTTCCAGAGCAGGCTGCTTTCCTGTGTGAACCCTCTGTGTTCCAGAGCAGGCTGCTTTCCTGTGTGAACCCTCTGTGTTCCAGAGCAGGCTGCTTTCCTGTGTGAACCCTCTGTGTTCCAGAGCAGGCTGCTTGTGGTCAACAACCCTTCCCGACCAAACCTTGATAATAGCTATGTCAGTAGTTCCACTACTGTACTGAATGACTGAAAGGTATAATGTACTGTGACTTCCTTAAACATGTTTGTACTATTTCTTGAGGTCACTGTGTGCTGACTCTTTTTCTAAAGCTTAAACAAAAACAGCAATAAATCAGAATGGTGCAAGTAATTATAAAAATAAATGTTATCACCTTAAGGAAACTATAAACAACGGTATATGTGCAGGAACACACATGTAATTCTGATATAAAAAATGCCCAAAATAGTAAATAAAGATGTAGGTGCGCAAGAAATCTTTAAAGTGTCACTGCATGGAAAGTGATATTAAGAATATATAAATATCCCAGAGATATACACACTAAATATTATATGTGGGGAATGCATAGTTAAACACACTGTGATAAAAACACAATGATCTTGTATGGTACAAAATAAGTTGTATACTTGCACTCTCTTTAGGAAATAGGTCTCAGTGAACTAAAATACATAAGCAACAAAACAAACCTAGTGCATAGTGATGACCCGAACGGTTCGCCGAACGGTTCACCACGGATGGCGAACATAAACTTTGACCCTGTACCTCACAGTCAGCAGACACATTCCAGCCAATCAGCAGCAGACCCTCCCTCCCAGACCCTCCCACCTCCTGGACAGCATCCATTTTACATTCATTGTGAAGCTGCATTCTTAGTGAGCTGTCCGGGAGGTGGGAGGGTCTGGGAGGGAGGGTCTGCTGCTGATTGGCTGGAATGTGTCTGCTGACTGTGAGGTACAGGGTCAAAGTTTATGTTTATGTTCGCCGTCCGTGGCAAACCGTTCGGCTAACCGTTCAGGACATCACTACTAGTGCAATATAGCCAGAAAAAAATCTATATTAAAATCAGTGCTCTTTGAAAAAATACACTCACAAAAAGCTTGCCAATGAACCTCAACAAAAAGTTGATGATGGTTAAATTTCAGTCTGCCATCACCAGCTTTTTTAGGCATTTAACTAATGATGTTTATCCTTCTTAGGTTTCCTAAGTTCTGCCATCAAGTCTGTCATGTGGTTTTCACTTTTCTTCATCCATGTCTTCCAAATACAGGCTGGACTCCATTATGTTGTTGCCATGTTCCTGACCAATTTTCCCAGGAAATGGGCTACCCATTTGGTGTTTTTTACCTTTACGTACCTGTCAAAAATAAGAAATCTTGGAGAAAAATAAATAAATGGACAGCTGAGACAACAGAGATACATTGTAGTATTGCACTATATATTTTAATATGAAAATGGACTAATATGTAATTAAGAAAATAGCTTAATTTGCCATATTGAAACATTGTTGGTAGATATGTGATGACATTATCTACAAATACTCAAAGAAATGTATAAAGCTGCAGTCAAACATGAATTTATTTTAAAACACAGTAATAGATCCAGAGGTGATTCACTCCACTTTACTTAGTTCTACAATGTACTTAATTGAAAATATACCTTATTTTTCTTCCTACTCTATACTAAGGACCTTGACTTGTGGTCTAATTTCCTGATTGAAATTGATTACCCCCTTCGGTATTCAGGCGTTATTCATGTGCACATTGGTATAAAATTGCTGTTTGACAATTAGGGTGGATAGGGCTGCATAGATTGCATGTTGTACATTCTTATAAATTTTTGTTCTGTTTCATTGTGACTTTATCCTTTTTAATATTTTGTTTCTGATGCACTAATATGCTACACTAATAACGATACAATCATATGCATTTTGTATTTGTTTTCATAGTACATGCTTGTCGCTTCATCCTATGATTAATGCATCTAAAACCAAGATAAAGAATGAAAAATAAAGTGAAACTTCAATCATTACAATGACACTACAAAAACTAGATCAGATAATGCACTCTGTGCAGAGTGTTACTTTCTTTAGAGGGATTTCAATAAATTTGGGAAGTGGATACAAAAGTGATAAATGCAAAGTTGGGCCTTAAGAATGAATACTCATGCAATATAATGAGGCTTGTCGGGGTATTAATAAATGGAAATATCTTGGTAATAATTACAGACAAAAGTAGAGACAACAATGTGCAATCACTAACTTGGGTCAAACGCCAGTAAGGTGCTGCAGTGCATAAAAAAATCATTTTGCTTCCAATTCAATCAATAATAAAGCATGACCTGAATGTGAGGTACAAGTTTGAATTTAGAAGAAAAATATAAAGGGAAATATGGGAAATGTAGAGAGGTGGGTACAAAATTAGTAAGGGGAATGGCAGGAAGATCTTAAGTTATAGATTAAAAAAAAAAATCACTTGTTATGTTAGGGGAAAACAAGTATCTCAGAGGGGATATGATCAAACCTGTATGTTAATAAAACTGTGCAATTGAAACTCAAAGAAATGAGATGCCACCATTGGGAAGACGGCAGTAGAAACAAGATATAGATTATATTTACTGCCCAGAGTGGCTGTTCTATTAGGTTCAATGGATATTAAAACCAAAACAAAAATCCTTAGTCAGAGCCTTGATTGCTACATTGGTATTTATCCAAGAGAAATCTGATAGCTATTTTGAAGTCAAACAGAATGTTTCCTTTTTAATATTGCAAAAAAATGGAAATATCTTCAAATCATGTTTTTCTCCTTTGCTGGACCAACAGTGGGAACAAATGTGTGACATGTCAAACTGCATGAGTGTTTCCTCCTCCCCAACAATGTAACTACTAATGATAGATCATGAAATTACATATGGGTTTAGCAATAGCTTCTTGACAAAGACTTCACAAGCCTGTTTGATGCACAGCAAAAGTGTTCTGTATTGTTAACAAGCAGAACAAACACTCACTACTAAACTTACAGAAGGTGCAGAGACCCCAGTCTAAACCAGTAAATAACGTAAAAGGTAAACATTTTTATGAGACTGGCTTTTTTCATGGTTCAACCAATATTCTCTTTCCAAGAAAAAAAAAAAAAAGAGACGGATTGACATATTAGAACAAGCATGTAAATCTCAAAGTCTAGCACGGGCCAAATAAATAAGGTTTAAGTTTATGTGGGCCGCAAAAAGAAAACAACTTAAATTTTCATAGAAACGTAGGTTTACTTTGAAAAGTACAATATATATATATAAAAAAAAACAGCATTCCCCTCTATCAAACTACAGCACCCCCCTCTACTCCCAGTCCCACCTCCTCTACTAAATCCCAGTCCCCCCATATACTAAATCCCAGTCCTCCCCTATACGACATCCTAGTCCTCCCCTCTACTAAATCCCAGCACTCCCCTCTAGCCAACAAGCAGACTCCACTCACATTGTCATTGACAGTATGCGTCTCCGGAGTCTGGCCTCTGGTATACCCCCAATGGTACGGTCCGCAACTGGTGCCAACCTCATCGTTGGGGATATTGCCTCAACCCTTTGGTGTTGGGTGTGCATTTAAATTCTTATATGACTATGGATACTAATGTGATGCAGAAATAAAGGAATGTTAAAATCTTTTTTTTTTCTTACTAATTTTTAGTTTACAAAACAGAGGGGGTGTGCTAAATCTAAATATTGACATGGGGACTATAGCATCCGGATTACAGTTTGTATCCATCACGCCATAGTTTACCTTTAAACCTTCCTTGTCAAACACAAGATAACAGGTACAATTGATAGGAAAGGGGCAGGTGGTAATAAATATTATGTATGACTTGGTCTTGAGAGCATGTGATCCTTCAACTGGAGCTAAGTCTTTGGTATCCTTTTATCTCTGGTAGTGCTGATTTCAAGAACATGTCTAAAAAGGATATATGAACCTTCGGCACTCCAGATCTCCAAATCCTACATCTCCCTTGTCGCTGAGCCAGTATAGCTGTAGGAACATCATCAGAGATGTAGTCCACAAAATCTGGAGTGCTTAAGGTTGCCTACCCCTGTCCTAGGGGCTTATCTATTTCCTCTAGAAATACCAAAGGTCAGCATGCAGGTTTGTTTGAATATTTTATATTTTCTATGATAAACAAGAAGTCAGTTCAGATGAACATGTTGAAAAGTTGAATGCACCAATTGTCAGTATTCATTAGAAAGAATTCTGTGTATATGAAAGTATGACTAGAAAAACGAAACACTAACATTCACATTAAACACCATATTCTATTCTGTAAAATATATCCAGTGTTCTCTGCTTCCTTCTTTAAATTATATATAGCAGGAGTCTGACATCTTATTTATGGTTATCAATTATTTATTTGGGGATAAGGGAATATTTGCCCTCATCACACAAAAGTTTGTAAGTATTTCTTAATATAATGTTTTTTTTCTGCTGAATTATTTTGATATTTTCACTGTTTATACAATTTTGTACAATGGTATAAAAAATGTAGAGGCATGACTCATTTATGCTAGTAGAGTTTTGTAAATGTACACAATGCACAGTTGGTTTGTCAGACAGTAAATTCATCAGCTATTTTCAGTGGTAATCATCCCATATTTTCTAGTTTCTTGTTTTCATTTGAATGAAAAAAATGTGTTGTCATCTGTTTGAATGGTCTGATAAGTTTTATCCATTGTTAAAATGAAGCCCAATTAAAATGGAGTTCAAATCTGTTAAAGAAAAATTATAAATCTGTTGAAAAGTATAATACAAAGGACATATAAATCAACTGCAGATAACTTTCTTAAATATAGATATAAAAAGAAATTGCCATTAGTGCAGCCCATGATTTATTTAAAATATTTCCCATACCCGAAGAATATACAGAGAGAGACCTACATTCTAAAGAGCAGATTATAAACTCATATTATTCGAAAGGGACAATTTCTGCACTGTAAACAGGTAAAAATATTTATCCATTTAACATGATTTTCAATATTAAATAAAATTGTGGAGAATTTATAGTTTGTCAGTTTTATTGTTTAACCCCTTAAGGACCAAACTTCTGGAATAAAAGGGAATCATGACATGTCACACGTGTCATGTGTCCTTAAGGGGTTAAACAATATATCTTGCAAAGTGTATAGTGTTTATTTGCAAAATGTTGTATTGTCATTAATTAAAAGACAAAAAAAACAACAACACTATCTGTGTCTATAACTGACTTAGATCATTTTATTTTCGCCTATATTTTGCTATTCTGTTACCTACTCATTATAATGTACTGTTTATTGAAAAGAGTCCCCTATATCTATCTCTGTGACTTTCAAGAATTACTTTAAATGTGAGCTAGCAAATATTGGTGAAAAGCCACAGATTTTTTTCCTCAACACTGCAAAGTGCAAAGGGACATCTGACTTACAATAAATTTGTATATGAATAAAGTTTACATTGGACACTACTTATTATTCTACCAAGGGACTCTCACTGTTATCCTCTCTGTTTGGGATTGTTATTCTACTAGTGATCATGTAACTGAAAATGTAGCTTCTGGTGCTCTGTCTCCTAAAATTATGCAAGCAGTCAAGGATCATGCTTTCTCTATCTAATCTAGTGCAGCCCACGTAATTAGATCCAAGTCTACTGCTCAATAAATCGAAAAGGAAATTCGTATCATGATTCATAAAATGGTTTGTTTGATGTTAATTTGTTTTTTTTTTAATCAATAAAAGTCTTGACCCTCTGTTTAATACACACAGACATGATGCATTATTTTCTCTTTTGCATGCAAGTATTCATGGTGTCCAAGGGGAAAAAAAGAAACTTGCTTTACATATAAACTGCACATTATTGTATACCAGTCACATTCTTATATACACTGATCAGCCACAACATAAATCCCTACTGCCTAATATCTCTAGATAAATGACACACATTTACTTGGCCTTCCACCTGATCTAAAAGAAACCATGATTCTTCAGACCAGACAACCTACTTCCGTTGTCCAGTTCCCCATTGAATTTGCTTTTGGCAGTGGACAGGGTCATCATGGGCACTGTGTGTTCTGACACCTTTTTATCAGCCATGATAATTATTTCTTTTTAGCAATTTAAGCTACAGTAGTTCTTCTGTGCGATCAGACACGATGGGCTGGCCTTCACTCCCCATGAGCATCAATGAGCATTGGGCGCCTTTGACCCTGAAGCTGTTTTACTGGTTGTTCTGTCTTGCTACAATCTTGTTAGGTACTAACCACTGCATACCAGAAACAACCCATTAGGCTTGATATTTTGGAGTTGCTCTGACCCAGTTGTTTAACCATCACTATTTGACCTTTGTCAAAATCACTGAGATCTTTTCGCTTGCCCATATTTCCTGCTTACAACAAATGAAACTGACTGTTCACTTGCTACCTAATACACCCCACAACTTGACAGGTGC